CTCCTAGAACAGTTCCGCTACAGTAACAATGGCAGCAAGCTGGCCTCCCGTGCGGACACGCAGCGATGGAGGGATTGGAAGGTGCCAAAATGGGTCGACTCCTCAAAACCCAAGCTCCCAATGCTTGAAAACCCTAGCTGGGGCTGAGCTACAGCTCAAACAAGAGAGAAAGAACAAGAAAACCCCTTCAGAAACAGCCCCCTTCTCTTTTATAAGACTCATTGGTTTGCTGGACAAGCTAGTTAAACTATTTATACATAAGCCCCTAGAATGCTTCCCTCTCACTAACAACTCCTTAGGAACAAAAATGAACATCTAAAAGATAACTTTTGTTACAAAAGGACCCAAGAGACCAAAACCCAATAGAAATGCACCCAACTGCCCCTGACGAAAAACCTAACTATAAAATGATGAAAATACCCCTGGTCCCAAACTGTCAACAAAGCTACCCAAAGACAACAATTTGGGATCCCGCTATAAAAAACATGAAAAACAGATTACATTCACACATTTTTCTTGCCTCATCACAGCTCAGTGTTAATCTTAGCAATTTTTAAGGACCGATAGGTTTGTAATTCAAGGGCTAAAGATAGGGAAGAGTTTGAATACACAAAACTTGGTGGTTAAAGGGGACTCAAAAACAGTGGTGAAGTGGCTAGAGAATGACAGCAGTGGAACTTGGAGATAATCAGCATATATTGAAGGAAACAAAGCAAATTGCAAGGAACATGGCTCTTACCTGGAGATGAACTTATAGATTAGCAAACAGTTTAGCTAACTCACTTGAAAAACAAGGGGTTAATAGGGGTCACTTGTAAATGGGTGTTACAAGATTGTAATGAATGTAATAATCTTTGGGGTTAGGCATCAAGGCTAGCCTAACAAATATATAATCCCTGTACTATACTGAACATTCTTTTATTATATTCAATGAAATGTCAGTTTTATCTTTGAAAAAAAAGTCAGCTACTGCTTGCTTTGATTGATTCAAGTGCATTGTTTAAGTAATTCCTTTTGGATAGTTACATCCAAATGATAAACTATTCATAAAATGGGGGTAATTCCTTGATTTCCCTACTTGTATATGTGTATTATATTGTTGTTACTAGTGATAATCAAATAGAGGTTAAAGAAATTTCTAGCCCTGCTGCCATTTCTAGTGAGCACCATGGTGTGTTTCTTTCTTTAATAAAATGCTTTCAGTTATTTATCAAAAAAATCAAATAAAGGTTGCAAGATTAAAGCAGTTTCTAGCTTTAGAGTTTGAGATTAAGACTTGGGAGACCTGTGATACTTCTTGGGTGTTGAAGCGGCTCAAATCAATTGCATTTTTTATCTCTAAAAGGAAATACATCTTGGAGTTGCTAGAGGATACTAGTATATTAGGAGTTAAGCCAGATGAAACTCCAATAGAATTGAATTATAACCTCACTCGTGAACAATGATTGATGTATTATTTGTCAATCACAACAAAACTCATGATAATCTGAGTATATTTGTACTTCATGTCATGCATCCATTCTTTGGCAGCAATTCTTTTTACTTTCGTCCCAATTAATGATTGTGCACTGGGATTTGAATTTGTTTATGATTAAGGCTTGGTCAAGTCTGATGAATGTATGATTCTCAACTTCATATGATGAATTCGCTACCCTTTTGCAGCCTTGTTTGTATGTTGGACGTGGAATGCAAGAAAACCTACTTCCTTGTTTGAAGTAACTCCCTTAGTCATGAACTGGAAGCTTCTTCACCTATCTATCTATCTATTTTGTCATGATCTGTATCCTTGTGTTACATTCTAGGTACACACTTTTTTGGGTGTTATTGTTGCTGAGCAAGTTTGCATTCAGCTACCATTTCGAGGTAATGTAGCAATCTTTTTGATATTAGAGTCCTAGTATTAAGTGATACAATAAAATCAGATGCTAAGTTGAAGATAGTACATCTTAAAATCTATCCAGCATGCTGATATTACCAAGGTTTAGCAGTATAGTACTTAAGAGTCTGGGTTCTATTAAAAAAGAGTCACTGTAATTGAAAAAAGGAAGTGTTTACTTGATGAAATAAAGTTAGGTTTACTGATTCTATGCCAGGAATTTTTTCTCCTTTTATTCTTCTCTCTCTCTCTCACCTATTTCTTCTTCCAAGTCATTTATCTCTTTGCTGTTTGGCCTAACAGCAAGAGTTCTTCTCTTTATTTCTAATTTCTTGCTCATTCTTTGTTGGATAGCAAGATTTTAGTTGCTTTTCATCCCTATTCTTCATCATTAATCACTAAAGAGCCTATTTCATCCCACAAAGCCCACCACCCGATTTGAAATTTTTAAGATCTACTTTGCCCTACATCATTTCTTTTCAATATGGAAATTCTTAAGTCAGATAGTTCTTTACTGCATAGTAACAGAACTAGTATTTTAGCCTTGTTCACTATAAAACAACCAAGAAAACTAATTCATGAATGTTTGAGAACAGGCCTGGGTCTTCTTTCTCTTCTTATTCGTGTGGATTGGTCAAAAATACCAAGAACAGTGCACCAACTTTCGTTGTCATGGCCAGTAGTACCCTTTTTTGATTGGTATGGCCAGCAATACCCTTTCAAGATAAAGAAGCTATTTATGGAGGATCACTCCATCTGCCACTTAATGGGGTCTTTGGAAGGAAATAAGCAGAAAAGCATTTGAAAACAAGTCAAGACCACTTCACATAATCTGCTAGGACATCATCTCTTTTATAATGGTTTGGGTGCTACTGCAAAAAGACTTCAAAGACATGAATAGAACAGATTTTGAAGAAAAATGGGTGGATCTAGTGTGACAATAATGTGAATTTTGTTAGTGAATTTCATGTGGAGGATCTCTTATCATTTAAGAGATCCCACTATTGACTTTTTGTACATTTTGTACTTGCACAAGGTACACACACATATAATGAAGTCAAAGTTAACTTTATCAAAAGAGAAAATTTCATGAAATGTTAACGAAAGTGCAGGGACTTTATCTATCTAGTGAATAAGAGAAGATTAAGAAATTAAAAATAAACATGAATTAATAATTAGAGAAGATTAGGAAACTTAAAGAGGGTTGATGGTGATATGATCTATTTCTCGTGAAACTTAGCTTTTATACTTCCAAGAGTAATACAATATAGGTGTACAACCATGGTAAATGGAATAAAGGTTTGACATGTTTATCCCCTTCAATGCCACATGGAGTTTTAAGTTGTCTCAAAGCTGTTTTTTCTATCTTGGGTGGTGCTACCACAAATTTACTTCTCAACACAAGTACAATAATTTGTGCTTCTGATAATCTGGAGGAAAAGATTGCACCTTTGCATGGTTTTACTAAAAATTGGTACAGTCAAAGAATCACCGATGTCCAATAGTCTATAAGGCTCCAGTTGGGAAGAGTGCAAATACAAATATGTAGTGCATTCTGGTCCATGCAAATGCAAAGTTGGTTTAGTTTTGCATTGATAATTTTACTTTCTTGCCAAATGATTTTTAGCTGTAATGGGCACAAACACGAATTCCTAGATTGGAATCTACCTTTTTCTTACACTGACCAACTTTGCTCTCATTTTGGGTGCAAATTTGCCTTTAAATTTGTGAAGGCTGTCACTTTCAGTACATAAATGCATTCTTACTGAACACCAGGAAAACTGAACCAGAGTGCATATATGCACTGAACCAGCATTTGCCTCTTCCTAAAAGGAGCCTAATAAAAAAAAGAGAAAGAAACAAGACCCTTAACAGAGAGGAAAGGAAACAAGTGGTGGAGGATTCGTTTGAGGAAGAAGGAAATCTAAGTGATGCAAGTAAAGAATAAATCCAAATTGATGAGATGCACCTGATTGAAAAAGCTGTGGATATGAACAAAGTAATTGAGACTGAGGTTATAGTTAGCAAGGCTTTTGGTGCCCTTGTATTAGGAGAGCAATTTACCAGGAAGATGTTTCAAGAATTGGAAGAAAATTACAAAATGCTGGCAAAAGATGTAGATGATACTTTTATGTCTAAATAAAGAAAGAAAGAAAAGAAAAAAAAGAAAAAGGTAAGAGAAAAAAAGGAAAAAATAGGGAGAATAATGGTGAGATTTCTTTCTTGGAATGTCATGGGTTGAGAGATTTCAGGAGAGGAGAGCTAGTGAGGAATTTGGTGAGGAAGAATAGGGTTGAGCTACTTCTGTTATAGGAAACAAAACTGGAAAAAGTGGACTTGGGCATTTTTAGAGATGCTTGGGGTTCAAACAATTGAGGTTGGGTTGAGTGTGAAGTAGCAGAGCTTGAGGGAGGTTTATTGGTGATTTGGGATTCTGAAATAGGGGCAAGGGTGGGGTTTTTAAGGGAGTACATTTGGTTTCAGTTGTGTTGGATCATGGGGAGACAAAGGGGAGAGTGCTAGTTTCTGATGTATATGGTCCAACTGGGGATGGGAATAGAAGTGAATTATGGGAAGAATTAGAAGGGTTTCATGATTCAGGGGTGGGGCCTTGGCTATTGGGGGGGGGACCAATATTTGTGTGAGGAAGAATGAGATGAAAGGGGTAGGGAAAATAGGGTTTCAGTGCCAATAAGGAGCTTTGCAGAGTTTATCCGGAGAAATGGACTGACTGGTTGTAGGGGTTTGGGTGCAATATTAACTTGGTCAAATGGACAAGATCCACCAATTTTGAGAAGGTTGGATAGATTTTTGTTTGATGGGGATTGGGAAGAATTATTTACAAATGTGGTGCAGGAAACTTTGACTTCCACTATTTTGAACCACAAACCAATAATTGAAGGTAGGTTTGCTTTCAAAAGTACAATTGGTTGAGATATAGCTGGAGAGGAGAGACTTGAGATGGTGGAAGGAATACATTAATAGAAAGTTTTCTGTAAAGTCTTTCTATAAAACTCTTTTGAGAAATCTGGTAGAAAGATCGGAGGTGAGAGGTGTATGGGGAAACCCTATCCCACCCAGGGTTGAAGCTTTTGCATGGCTGCTTGCTTTGGATAGCATCTTGTTAAAGTTTATACTGCAGGGGTAATATTGTCTTTTTGTCTTTTGTTTACTAGTCTTATGTCATATGCAACCCTTGGAGGACATTTTTTAATTTTGTTTTTTATTAAAGTCTAATAAAAGAAAGGTTGATAAGAGGGGGAGAGACAGGAAGTTTGAATCTCTCTCTTGGACCTCGTTTCTTCTCACTTCTTGCTTTCTTTTCTCTTTTTCGACCTTACCTCCGATGACCCCACAGATCTGATAACACCTGTAACAACAAAAAGAATTTCGAATGGCAACACACGACAACTTGATCAGAACTTTAGCAATGCACCCAAGAGCATAGATGACCCAACTTGACATATGTCCAAAAGACACTTTTCCTGAAGACTGTCACTTGCAAAGTAATCACTGTATCTTTCCTCAAGGAGAAGTTCAATATATATAGAGTCTCACTAACGTTAGGAGATATTACCGTTTGAGGATTCCCAACTGATAAGTGATCAGCTTGGATTTAGAGTCATCACTTGGACTGGTTCAGCCCATTGGATCAAGTGCAAGTGTCCACTAGGTAGGATTAAGTGCCAAAAGATTTTCAACTACCTAGACAACCTATTGACCAAGCCAAACAAATTATGCTGACATGGCAATAGGTTGTTAAACAGCAAAGTAAACAATCACAATTAATAAGAAGGATAATACTGCATTAAGCACAAAGACACTTTTACCCATTGGTGTAAGTTATACCATTGGCCGTAGGATTTATCCTTACACCAAGGTTATTCCAATCGAGGGCATTTGGCCACTCATATCAACAATCTCAACCGAATCTCTTCCTCATCCCGTCTCTTCTTTATTTCAAATTTTCTTCACCTTCTTTTTGGCTTTTATTACATGGTATAAGAGCACTAGGGTTTGGCTGTCACTGTTCAGGCAACTTTTAGTACCCTAGGAATAGAGAACTCACTCTGTTCACTACAAGGAAGAAAAACAACCTGAAGAAGTGTCGCCCATTAGAAAAGGAGGCTTTAAAGCCTCCAGTTGTGGCTGTTATGGTGTTTTGGGTGTTCTTCTAAAGTTCTGTCTTACTGCAACCCAAAGGAGGGACAATTATTGTGTGTGGCTAGTGCAATAGGTTAGTGATAGTGTGTGGAGTTTGAATAATGTGTTGTGGTATGGTGACAACCCTACTGTAAATGTGTGAAGTAGTTGGTCTCCCAAGTGAGAGTTGTGCAGTTTCCAATTGCGGTATTTGGCTTCTTATGTGGTATCTAGCTTCTCTTTCGGTGTTGGAAACTAGTGTAACAAGTTGATTTTCTTATTGTGAGTGACTATAGTGTACAACCTTTTGTGACCTATGGCTTCTTCCACTAGTAGAACTAAATCAGCTGTGGTAGTGCAACTGGGTTCAATGAATGCCCTACTGACCACGGTTATGCTTAATGGCATGGACTATGTACCATGGGCCAAGTCTGTGGAAGTTTCTTTAATTGGAAGAGGCAATCTGAAATATATTAGGGAGGACCAACCTAGATCTCCTTAGTTGTGTGAGCAAATAGAAAATTTTTGCTTATATGAGCTAACATAGAATTGCATAGCCAGGTCATCAGCATGTAGTTCTCCTGTACCCACTAGGAAGAGTTAGTCGTAGGTTTCTTTTCTTCACCAGTGACATACCCCAATTTTCCATGAGCACCAATAGCCATTTTGGTTGATTGTGACCACTCCAAATTGTTTGTACCATCCAACCTAACTGTAGTGATGGTCCCTACCCCAAAAGGGTTACTAGCACCTCCTCCACCTAGTTCCATTTCATTGGTAGACTTGTACTCAACTCCACTGCCCTCCATAATTCCCAAAATAGTTTAGAAACTGTAGATGAGAGAATAGATTTATCCGTTTTAGAGGCCTCAACCAACCTTCTAGTACCCAGAAACCTTTGTCAACAAAGATTCTTCTTTTGTTGGAGCCAGTAGAAACAGAAGAAAAGGCTGCCGCTCCCACCAGAGACCTCAGAAAACTCCAAAACTTGAATTGCCTCCTTCAGAAAACACCAAGAAGTCAAACATCCAGAGCACCCCTTCCTAGGTCAAAAATAAAGTCCTACTGCAATCAGGACTCTTTTTCCTCCAGTTCTTCCTGATTTCAATGATCAACCCAAGATTTGACACAAAGGGTTCTAGATCCACCAAAAACTCCAAGAACTTGGCACTTTTGAAGTCTACGATGAGCTCTCTAACTCACCATGCAGTCGGCTCATCTAGGGCTGCATGATGGAAGACTCAAAAAATCCCAAAAGTTGCTTTGATATCAAGTAGAAAAAGAGAAAACAATAATCTGATTTGATAATAGTGAAAAAGAAGAAAGAAAGAAAGAGTTCTTAGTGAGAAGAGAAGAAGAGAAAGAGAAAAAGAGATGGAGAGAAGCCAATAATGATCTGGCCGCCCCACCCATTATCTTATATACTCATAGAAAAGATTGATTACAAAGACTAGTATGCCCTTAATGGGGTGGCTACTGTTCATAACCTAAAAACAGCTCCAAAAAACAACATAAACTAGTGGGCCTTGGGCCCAGTAACACTAACTAATGATTATAAACAAAAAAAAATCATAAGAAACTACTGAATCTAACAATCAGAGACTGAAAGATCCTGGTATCTGGCTATCCCTTCCTGTGCATATTCTTGTGGCAAGGACTGAGATTTGATTTAGCTTAAGATTAAAATGCAGAACATGTGCCACTTTTTTTTTGTTCGTTGGGTTCCTTTGTAGGAACATAAACAGATAACCATATGCCACTCTATGTTGATGGAAAATTGCAGATAAGGCCACTTGTTGACCCAACAAAGCAGATTATGAAAATTGGGGTGAACAAATATGATTGGCATGAGCTTTTCCCTAAAGGTTCAATTCTTCCGATTTCATTTCTGTAAATATTCGTCCTGCCAATTAAAAGTTGAGTAAATAGAAAAATAAATTAATAGTTGTCTCACTCAATTAGTTCTGTACAACTTATAACGCTTTTATCTTCAGTGAAAAGCAATGCTGGTGCAATTGTGGCAGTTTGGGCTCCCATTATAATTGTGAGTGACTCTTGCCTTGTTTGGGTTCTATAATCTCTAGAAATCTTTTGAGTCATCAACCTTACCACATATTTGCAACCAACAAAGCAAGGAAGAAGTTTAGAACCTTCTCATTTGTTCTGTTACAGTTTGTATCAATCATTATTCATCATTAGGGAGAAATCATTCATATCATGTTGTGCTTGAATGCAGATTTATTTTATGGACACACAGGTTTGGTATTCTGTTTACTGTACAATTTTTGGTGGAGTTTATGGTGTATTTCGACATCTTGGTGAGGTAAGCTTTCCTTTTTCCCTGGGTGTTGATATGGAACTTTGTCTTACTTTCCTTTTCTTTATTTAGATACGTACAATGGGAATGCTAAGAAGTAGATTCCAGTCTCTTCCCTCAGCTTTCAATGTTTGCCTAGTTCCACCTTCTTCAAAGAATGGACAGAAAAATGTAAAAAGCTTCTTCCATCTGAAAATTAATAAGGTATTTCTACTTTATCATGTTATCAAGTGATTTTAATTCATCATCATTGTCATCATCTAAGCCTTGTCCCTTCTATATAGGGTCGGCTACATCAGTCCTGCTCCACCATTCTGTTCTGTTCAATACCATATCCATTGTTAAATTATGGGCCTTTAAATCATTTCTCTCTACCTCAGCCCATGTCCTTTTGGTCTGCCTCTAGATCTTCTAGCCCTTTCAATTTGTAACAGATCACTTCTTACTGTTGCTATAGATGGTCAAGTCATTTTAACTATTCTAATGATTTAATTTTCTTTCTTGCCACTAATTTTGAGCCAGTTTGGTCTCAGGTCTCAGAAAATGAGAAAAATGGTGTTGCCAAATTTGCTCAAGTGTGGAACCAAATTATCGATAGTCTCCGTTCTGAAGACTTGATAAGCAATAGGTACATTTTATTTCTCAGAAAATACATAAGATCAATAATTAGCTTCAAACCCAATAAGAATTTGCTCCTTTGTAAACAGGGAGCGGGATCTGATGACTATAACTTTATCATCAGAGTTAACTTCTGGCTTAGTATGCTGGCCGGTTTTTCTTCTGGCAACAAAGGTGTGGCATTTCTTCTCTAGCACTTGCAGTCATAACATTCTACTGTTTCTCATATCCAAAATCTCCTTTGAATTCTTATCAGTTATCAACCGCATTTAGCATTGCTAAAGATTTTGTGGGGAAGGATGAGAATCTGTTCAAAAAGATAAAAAAAGATTACTACATGTACTGTGCTGTGAAGGAGTGCTACGAGTCACTGAAGTATATCTTCAAGTTCATTGTGAAGGGTGATCTGGAGAAAAGGTAGAGAAGCAATACCAACTAATCAATATAAAGTCTTCCATTATTTATCACATTCTTCTGGATAGGAATAATTTCTTATTTTAGAGCCATTCAGATTGTTCTATCACGTTCTTCTCCATTGTGAATAATTTCCATTGTTCTATCACGTTCTTATAAAGTTCATTGTGAATAATTTCCATTATTTATCACGTTCTTCTCCATTAAAGAAAGAGCAAGAGATTAGAAAGAAAGGGAAGAACTCTTGCTGTTCGGGTAAACAATAATGAGATAGAACACTTGGTAGAGGAAATAGGTGAGAAAGAGGGGGAAAAAGAAAATTTCCTGGAAACAACCAGAGTTCACTAAACTAAACTTTATCTCATCAAACCTACTCCTTAAATTGCAACAATGGTGATTATTTGTAGACTGAATATATGAATCGGAAATTGCAATAGGAATTGAACTTGTTTATTAACCCTAGAATCTGATCGGACCTACCAATCAACTTAAGAGTAGCTCTAGGTAGATCACAGGGTTCAGTCAACCACTAGGGCTTGCCGCAGATCACTTTCAAACCCTAGAGTAGAGAGAAACACAGTTCGGTCCAGGGTTTGATGTAAAACCCTAGGAAATCGAAGAGAAAGAGCTAGAATGGTTCGGCCTTCCCCTCCAGATAGGTCCAACCTATCTTCTCTGAAAGAACTTCTATTAAAAAGTAAACAACTTACAAGGAAAAAATAGTTCGCTGCCTTCTAGGGTTACCTGAACCCTAGTCTTCTCTGATCCTTCCTGACCACCAACACTCTGCAACCCTAGCAAGTTTCCAACAGCTGCTAGTACCTCTGGCGATCTCCAAGAATCAGTCTGCGAACTCCTCCTTTTYAGCTTTCAGTCCTAGGAGATTCTCATGTGGTCGGCTGGTATTAGACYCACATGAAAAACCCTAACTTGGCTCTGATACCATGTAGGTTTTCAAGACTGCTATTCAGTCTTGATCACTAAGAGATTTCAGGTTCGATGAGAAGAGAATGTGAAGAAGATGTAGAAGAAAGAGTGATGGAAGAGCAATAGAACACATATTTTGAGGAGAAGAACAGAATGTCAATATTCTGCCGCCGCCACTTTAAGTTAATATATATAGGTTATGCTAGCTACATGAAAGGACATATCTGCCCTTGGTGTTTACATCATAATTGCTAACAAATAACAAACAATATAAAACTGAAACTAGAAATAACAGAATAGCAAAATAACCACAGCTGTGACTAGATACATTCTACCCTACGGACAGAGTGGGACCACAGCTGTGGGGCCCACATCACTGTTCTCTACACCATGGATTCTTTCTTTGCTTCTATATCTGTATCACTTCTCTATTTGTGATGCTGCATTTGTTTCTTGTTAGGATTGTGACAGAGATTATATCTGAAGTAGAAGCCAGTATTAGCAGATCCAGTCTTCTTATAGATTTCAAGATGAGTGAACTACCTGGCCTACACAGTAAATGTATTGATCTGGTTAATCTTCTGGTAAGTATCTTACATTAAATCATTAGTTGCATTTTTTAGCTTATCTTTTTTTCCTTTATTACTTTGAGCATGACAACTGACATTTTCATTGTTATATGCCATTTTTTTCAAGCTTATGAACAGAAAACACCATGAAGATTCCATCATTATGATACTGCAAGACATATTTGAGGTTGTAACAAAAGATATGATGACAAATGGATCCAGGTTTGCACCAGTTGAACTCAAGTCCTTTTCCCATATTAAACCATGGGGTACACCTTACAAAGAATCTTCTTTAACTACAAACAGAATATTGGATTTGATCCAAGAGTTCCAACCAACAGAAGAAGATCCAATTTGCTACTTCAGAGAGATTGAGCCTCAGTTATTTGCATCAAGTAGAGGCAAACCTTCAGCAATCCTTTACCCAATCCCAGATGGTTGCCCTCTGATGACACAGGTGACTTTTTGATTTATAAAATTCTCTATTTTTGTTACATTTATAACTCAATCATGTTGTTACTTTCCTTGCAGATTAAACGCTTACTTTTGCTGCTTACTGTCAATGAGACGGCTATGGAAATCCCTGTAAATATAGAGGCTCGGAGGCGTATTTCATTCTTTGCTACTTCTCTCTTTATGGATATGCCTATTGCTCCTAAAGTTCGCAGTATGTTGTCTTTCAGGTTGGTTTCCTTAGGTTAAGATCTTTTCTGAATCTCTTAGGCGATACCATCAATTACATGCTCATACAAGAAGAGTTCTTTCTTTTATTCACTATTACAAATTATAGGAAAACATATTTAGTACAAACAGAAAACATTTGCTTAGATTTCTGGCAATACCAGGATTATCAAACTTTAACATTGGGTTCTTACCTAGAACACAACTATGCTGCATGTCTATTGTTGCATTTCTTCCTTCTCTATTGCTCTTTAGTTATTTTTGTACTTTTGAGTTTTTGTTAAAGTTAATATTTTTGAGTTATGATGGTTTATTGCTGATTGTCTTACTCTGAGGAGGACTTTCTTTTCTTTTAGAACGTCAACAATTTTCTTCTCTTTTTTACAGTGACCAATCATTCAGGCTCTGCTGATGGGTTTTTGAAGCAGGCCAATTATAACCCAGATTTGGGATTATGTTATTGGTGCATGTCTCAGTCCCAGTCCTAATTCTTGAGTCTAAAACTTCATCTCGTTATCGGGTTTTACCTGTTAAATTATTATTTAAATATATTGTGTCTGTTATGATAGATGAAATTATTGGCCTCTAATTGTTTAAAAGTGACTTGGTGCTTGACCAAAGAAAGAGCTTGTTTGACTCAATGCAATTAAAATGGCAGGTTATCATGGATCAAGTAAATGGCTTTGATTAGTTTATGTAATAACTAATAATACCTCTGTTTTTAATATATCCTTACCTCACCTTTTGAGCTTATCTGTTGTTTCCCTAACCTTACTCTCTAGTAATTGACATCAATTGAACTAGTTTTTTTTTTTTTTAATCCTTGTCTGTTGTTTTTTTATTATCAACAGAGGTTTCATTGCTACTAGGTAAGAATGATATACAAAAGGAGGTTGGGAAATAACACTTTATGAAAGAAATGCAAAAATTAAAACAATATGGTAATTCACAATATCCTGCCAATCAAAGACAATCCTAGTCATGTTCTTGGTAGTTTATATTCGGAAAAGAAAGAAAAATTATAGGGGGGACTTTTAGTATGTTGCATAATCCATCAGTCCTTTCAGAAAAATGGAGAAACTAGAAATCTTTTTATAATTTGGAACTCCTATAAATTGGTTCCTTTGCATCTTATATAAAAAATTAACCCTTCAATTTAGAATTTCAATTCCCAGAAAAAATGGGTATTCAACATACCAAGATAATCCCGAAATAATGGAATATGATAGAATCTATATGGAGCCAGGGTTCCATTCTCCAACTATATTAAATTTTGAATGGTAGTACTAAGATAGTGTTGAAACAGAATTTGTTTTGACATGGTTATTATTATTAGTTTTTAATGATTATTAGATGCCTTTCAAAGATGGTATCATCTTATTAAGGTGCACCTTGGTGTATCTTACTATGTTTAAAATAATGGGGCTGATTTAAAGGCCCTCATCAATCTTCTCTTATAAATGAGACAACATAAATGCAGTGTTTTCAACCTGCTGCTAACCTGGATGGTTGAACTGTTCGACCTGCCATCTGGAGGCCAAGATGATCTGGTTTAACCACAAATTCATCAATATGCAAAAACCCATTAATTTGGTCAAAACCTGTTTGGCCCAAATGTTTAAATTACTGAACTGTTCAACATAGTCTATGGGTCATGGTTCATACCATTTTATAATATTAATATTCATATTATAATTATATATTAATCTTCATATTATAATTATGTATGTATGTATAGAAAGACTTAGTTTTTTTATTTCTTATAGAGAGGTAAAGTTGTAATTGTACGTCTTTTAAATGCGTAAGTGTGAATAGGAGGGTGGGGGGATCCCTAAGCTGCCAACACATCCTCTTTGATTACTCTCTTTCTCTCCTCTTTTTTCTTTTCTTGTTCACTGGTTTTCTCTTCAATCTCCATCGGTAAAGCAATCAATCCTAGTATTTTTTCCTACTTTGCTTTTTTCTTATTTCTATGATGGTATCAGAGTAGTAAAAAGTACCTGGGCCTAGTCTTCTTCTTTGGAAATCAATTGCAGCGCTAGGAGTGGTTTAGGGGTATAAACTACTGGTGTATGGGAAATACCCCTTAATAAAGGATGATTTAATGTTTATTTTTGAATATGATCAGAGGTCCAGTTGATGAGAATTATATTTTTCCCATATTTTTTGTTGAAAACTGGGAAATATCAGACTAGGGTTTTTTGATCATGGAGGACAGCAAAAAGATGGTGGAATGGTTAGCAGTAGCATGGGTACCTGAATGTGCATATGTGGTAGAAAAACAAATACTAGCTAAATTGCTCCAATTTCATTCTTCACTTAAGTCAAAAGTCTTCCATACTTTTCAAATTCAGCCTGGCAGCTGTAAATATCTCCATCAATGGTAATGTAGTTCTATCTATATTCTGTCCTTCCTCTTTTTTAGGTTCTGTTGCCACATTTAAACATTTCCACCTTTCTTGTTATTCTTGAATCGGGCTAGCTTAAGATTAGGATGTAATTTCAACAAATGCTGTCAACTGCAATTGAACTCCTGTTTGGGCTTCACATTGGCATAAGCAAAATGATCTAAGGTTGGTGTCTGTAGCATCAGTTGCTGCCTACTTTCCTCACTACTGACAAGAGGATATGCTTGAGCCAAACTCACCTCATCTCTGACCAATATGGTTTGTCGTATGATATCATATTCACTGTTGTGTACAATTAGGAACTCAAACACCCTATTCTTCTCTGCCAACTTTTTGCAAGTAGAAGCATCATTATTACTTTCCTACACTATAGTCTCCATCAAATTTATCTCCTACCGTAGGGACTTAAGGGTGGAGTAATATAATGCTAGAGATTTCTCCCTCTGCTTTAGATTGTTGACTTCATTCTTGAGTTTGTAGGTCCTGGTTACATTTAACTTCTGGGAATAGGTCTCAGTTAGATTATCCCATATTTCCTAGGCTGTGTTCATCCACAAATAGTTTTTGCCGATATGTAGCTGCATTGAATTCATCAGTCAAGAAATCCCCATATAGTTCTCCTGTCTCCACTTCTCATAGGAAGTGAGTTAAATATCCTACTCTACCATGACCACCAACATAGATCTGAGTAGACTGTGCCTACTCCAAATAATTTGTCCGATACAACCTAATAGTAGTTACATCATTAAACTCTAGATCCTAGTGGAAATATCACGACTCCAAGTTATGCTCGATATCAATTCCAAACTGCTCCATTGCTTAAAAACTCAGATGAAAATATTATTTTAATCAATAAAATGGTATGTCAACCTCCAATCTTTTGACTTACATTCAAGAATTGAGAATAGGACTATGGTTTCACTAGCCCTACAACCCGGGAGAACTCAGAAAACTGCTAGTTACTCCAACCAGCCTTTGCAATAGGCTTTCCAGTGCAGGTTGATCTCTAAATCAATCCAAAAGAGACCCAAAAAAATGCCAAGTGTTGGCCCTGATCTACCTCCTTGGTGTTCAACCCCAACTGGGTCCTACCTCTTCAGTTGATACTTAACATGGGAAACAACCAGGCAAAAGCAAGTCTCTCCAAGAATCTCTACCAACTAGGAAAAAACAAGAAAAGACTGATCAGCCTCTTAGGTCCCCATACACCTTGATGATCTTAGGATATGGATCCTTTTAGGAAGAGAAAAGAGGGGAAACCTGCTCTGATACCAAGTTGGAAATCAATGACAGGTAAAAACAAGGATTTATTTAAGATTTAGAGAAGAAAAGAAGATTTGAGCAGTTATGATGATGGAATAAGAGAAGAAGACAAGAGAGGAATTGAGAGGAAGTCAATCATAGGCTGCTTGCAGCGGTATTCTTTTTTTTATATTTGATTAGATTGTAATTACAAGGGATATGACCAGACTGCCCTTAATAGGATGAATGCAATAAAAGAAAACAAAGATGGGCCTAATCTGGCCAAATACAAGTAGCCCAGCAACTAATTAAAATAAAGAATACAAAGACCCAGTCAACAAAATAAGTAAAAGAGTCCAAGTACAGTGAAGCAAATGCACAATAAGGCAAAAAAGTAACCAATCACGTGAAAAACGTCACACATCTACTTATGATTTAATAGGTTCAAATTTTCAAGGTGTACTTACAATCACATTAAAAACTTTAACAATGTTAAAGATGTTCACAATGATGTTTCGCTTTATCACTGGGTCATGTTTTTGCTTCACAGTGTAGTTTCTGCACCATACATTTTGCCTAAATAAAAGTCCAATAAGAAATAAAACATCTTCTCAACAACCTCCAACAAAGAGATGATAGAAGAAGGAAGGCCATTATCTTTTTTATTTCTGAAAGAAAATAAGGGTAAAAATTTGTACCTTTGGAGCTGAAAAGAAGTGTAACCTATAGGAGCCAAGATTTTCACAATCATGCCTGTAGACGTCATCTTCTCATTTTTCTTCTGTTCTAATGGATCCTTTATTTGTTTCAGTGTTTTGACACCACTCTACATGGAAGAAGTCAAATTTTCATTGAAGGACCACCACTCTAGCCAAAAGGGAGTTTCCATCCTCTTTTACATGAAAAGGATATATCCAGGTTAATTCCAGAGAAAACATATTGTAGTTAGTTGATAAGATGTCATTCCAATGTGTTCAGTGGAACTCAACTGCTCTTTACCCCTTATTGTTTATTTGGTTACTTCAGATGTCTGGAGAAACTTTTTGGAACGCATGGAATGTGAAGACTGGGATGAGTTAGAAGAGAAACACATGGATGAACTTATCAGCAAAAAGAAACACATGTATGAGGAACTCCGAAACTGGGCTTCTTTCCGTGGACAGACATTAAGCAGAACAGGTGAAGGAAAACAATTTAACCTGTTTAATAAACTTGCTTTCTGATCTATAGTGGTTGGTTCTGTCAGCGTTCTGATTTTTTGTCCTTGATTTTGATTTTTCATGCCTATTACAGTTCGAGGAATGATGTACTATAGGAAGGCATTAAAACTGCAAGCTTTCCTTGACATGAATGATGATATGGGTGAGTAGCAGTTCTGCTAATTTATTTGATATTATAGAACAGAGTAGGTGGATATGGACCTAATTTTTGGCATTTCTCATACGTAGTGGCTGCTCTCTGACTTCAACTGCATTCTCATGCTTTCAGCCTGAAATTTTATCACTGCCAAGCAAGGGCCCTCATAACAAAGTATAATGTATTAATCATGAAATATGCGGGGTTATCCAAAAATATCATGAAATGTGTAATGCAGGAGCCAGGAGGGAGGTGTTAACTTCTGAAAAATATATAAAGGCTCACAAAGCAAGAACACTATAATAAGAGCGCCCTAGAAAGAGAGATCCTTATGACAAACAAGCTCATTGTTAGGTAGAAACAACCACACTGCCCTGCACTATCCAAACAAAAGGAACTCTATGAAAGGTATAACCTGAGACCATATACTAACAAAATGAGCATTGGTACCTAAAATCAAAACCAAATCCAATAGAGCCCTTTATATCTACATAAAAAATAAAAACCCAGAAGAGGTAAACCTAGGACTATGATGTAGGCTTCTAGAAGGAGCATGATGTCTTTTATGCTAATACAAAAAAAAAAAAAAAAGTTGAACCTAGTTTGGCAATGTGGAACCCTAATAAAAGCAAGGTTGAAAGTATCAATACGATACACCCAATGTTGGACGTATCATATCATTCCAGCAAATCACCAATACGCCTTTATTAGGATTTTCCAAAAAAGCATGTTTTTAAATGTCAAATAAGATTAATATTGTCCTGTGAAAATATGAAAATAAGATTAATATTGGTTCAGGTTTTGAATTCTTTTAGGGTTCAATACAATAGTTACCAATGTCTGTTTTGATTAAATCCTAACAAAAAAGAAAATAAAAAGAAATTAGTATATAAACACATAAAATGAATATTTTAGTTTAATAATGTCTATTTTATAATTATAATCTCAAAAAATTAAGAATAAAAAGTATTTGATAAGTATACAAAACTGCTTGGCGGTTAGGCGAGGCGAGCCTCCAAGGGTGCCTTGTCGCCTATGCGTTTCCCTGACAACTAGCACTCATATTGTCAAAAAAAATTGGAATGGATGAGGAATGATCAATGTCCATATCATGGAGCAGGGCTTTGAGCTAAACTATTTCATTGCGGACAAAGGACATTGCTTGGTACTTGCTTTAGTTAGATGACTTGGATTGTTTATTGCTTCTTACATTTCCACATGTTAGAGTTAGCCGAATAAGGGTAGATTAGTCAATTCACCTTGGTTAAGTTATGAGCTTATGTGGCAGTCTTATTAGAGGTTCTCTGTCTCATACTTAAGTAGGGGCAGTTTAGTCCTTGTACATTTAATTAGAAGCCTAATCACTATTAAGAGGTCGACTGATAGGGTTTAGCTATCAGGTTCGACAGTTCTTTCATCTTCTTCTTCTTCTTCTCCTTCTTTTTCTTCTTCTCCTTACTGGTTCGGACTACTGTAGCAACAGTAGAAACACCACGAAATGAGGGAGTCACCAAGGAAAACAGACCATGAGAGATTGTCCACCTCACATAATGAATGATTTGAAGAACAACAGAGAAGTGGGGCTGATAAGGAGCCGAAATGAACTTACCAACAATCTAAACAACATAGGAGATATCCAACCAAGTCATAGTTAAGTAGATTAGGATGCCCACAAGTTGTCAATGTAGAGTAGCCTCTGGAAGCAAATAACCATCATCCTTGCTTAATTTAAGATTGAGTTCCAGTGGAGTGTCTTCCTGCTTTGAATTAGTAAGATGCCATTTTTACTAGATCAGCGGTATACTTTTGTTGGTTGACAAAATACCCGTGGAGAACTTAATTTTAAGTCCTAGAAAATAAGTGACTGGTCCAAATTTTAAAGGAGTTGCTAAGAAAAAGTTTTAGATTAGCAATGCCATCAACATCATCCCTTGTAATTAGGATATCATTTACATACACCAAAAGGAGAGTCGATCCTTGGGGCCACTTGAGAGTAAAAAAAGAAGAATAAGAGATTCAGAGGTACTCTACTGAAAACTAGCTTCCAAAATCACTATATGGAAACGTTCAAACCAGGCCCGCGGAGCTCGTTTAAGACCATAAAGGGATTTCTTCAATTTACACACCAAGTGGGGATCATCACAATACCCAGGGGGGCTTCATGTATACAATTTCCTATAAATTCCTATAGAGGAAGGCATTTTTGACATCCATCTGATGAACAATCCATTGCCTGATAAGGTTTTTGCAAAGCTTGTGGTGAAAGCTGTTACCACCTCCTAATTTCTTGCCCTTTTGTTGTAGGCCTCTGGGAAAAAGGTTTTTGATCTTTTTGGTCATAGGTGGGTTGTGCCTCTGCACATTGGAAATCTCTTTGACTTCACGACTTTCAGTTGACCAAAGAAGAGAGGCAAAGTCATGTGGAGGTGCCTTAGGGCTTCTGTGATATGGACAATGTGGGAGGAGAGAAATAGTAGAGTCTTCAGTGACAGAGAAAGGTGTATGGAGGCAGTTTGGGAGTGTAATTTTAATAGATATATACATTGGGTTAAAGCCTCAAACTTGTTCTCGGATTTCTCTGTTGATGACTTGTGGAGAAACTGGGAGCTGTAGCTAGAAGTTCTACCACAAGGAACAGACTAGTGGTATCTTGGGAACCTCCTGATGAAGGCTTTATTAAGTTGAACTTTGATGGCAGCAGCCTAGGGAACCCAGGTCCAGCTGGTGTAGGGGTCTTTAGGAATAATGAAGGACTCATTGTTGCTGTATTCTCAGGCCCAGTTGGAATAGGGGACTCAGTTTTTGCAGAGTTCCAAGCAGTCTTGCAAGAAGTACAGATTGTGAGACAGCTAAATTTTGATAGACTGCTCATTGAAGGTGATTCTAAATTGATAATAGGGTGGCTGAAGGAACCAGAAACAATGAGTTGGAAGTACAACGAATCTATGAAAAAGTTAAAATGGCTAGTTAGAGACATGACAGTTCTTGTGAAATGGGAAAGACGGTCTGCAAATGGAATGGCTGAGTAGTTGTAATTTGGGTCATTGTAGAATAGGGTCACACCTTGCATCCCTATTGGGATAGTTTGTCTTCTAAATCTTGATGTAATCCCTCTTTATTAATAAAATGCTATAGCGGTGATGGGCAAAAGTAAATGAATAGTAGTCATCTTGACAACAATGGTAAATGTCTAATCATAGTTTATGCCATACTCCTATTTGTAATCCCTTATGTCTATCAAGGGTACCCTCTGGTTTTAGTTTCACAAAGTACACACAATGAATGCTATTGATAGAAGCATTTGGAGGAGGTGAGACAAGGTTGCGAGTGTCATTTTCTAGTAGAGCCTGAATTTCTGAGTCTATGGCCTCTTTCCAATGCTTAACTGCTACAGCCTGGTGGTAAGAGTGGGGTATATCTATAGAAGATAACATAGCATAGAAAGAGCTATGGTTGGTGAGAAACCAATGGCAATCAGGAGGGCAAGAAATCTGAGAGGAACGATGTAAGGAGGTAAATGTAGGTAAGGTAACAGGAGGAGAAGAACTTACAATGGTGGTGGATGAAGGGGGAAGATTGGGATTTGACGTTGAAGGAATCATAGGCGTTGAATGAACTGAATGTTTTTGATAATAAACTTGTAGTTGTTGACGACTAAGAGGAGGAGGATCACCTGTAGAACTGAAGTGATGTAGAACAAAGAAAGATGGTGCCGGTAACTTAATAGCATGCTCAAAGGAGATGTTATCAAGGAAAATAACATTACAGGATATGTGAAGATGACAAATCTTGGGATCATAGCAAAGAAATCCCTTGTGTTCCAAACTATAACCCTTGAATGCACACATAGCCAATTGAGGAGTTAGTGTCGTGCATTATTGTAGAGGAAGGTGAACAAAACAAACACAACCAAATACATGA